AGAATTAAGGTTGCATAGAGAAGTGTACTCGGGGTGGGGGTTGGGGGGAAGGGACATGGGAATTGTATACTAAAGAAGGAATTTTTTTTCTTTTTTTTTTTTCTCTCTTCGGAGGGGGAAGCGAATTGGTGGGGAGGGATGGGCAGGGAGAAAATTGCGGCAATGAAGGAATGAAAATCCAAAACCTCTGTAAAAAAAAATAAATAAATAACTGTCAAGATATTTTTGCTGTATGTCAAAAGTATTTTAACAGCTGTCTTTCATATTTTTACTACTTTTGTGGTATGTTTTTAATCTTTTTATATTAAGATTTATTATTTTTGTGATAAAAAAGTCTTTCTAGCAAAATCTAGATTAGTATTTAACTAAAGAAAAGGAGCAAATAATTCCAGAATCTGGACTATATGAAGAAGAATGTGACATCAGAATTACAAGATGTTATACAGATGATGTAATCTTGCTTTTAGTAAGTGAGGAGGACTTGAAGCACTTATAGCAGAAGATCAAAGACTACAGCCTTCAGCATGGATTACATCTCAAGATCAAGAAAACAAAAATCACCATTGAACAAATAGGCACCATCATGACAAATGGATAAAATATTTGAAGTTGTCAATGATTTTATTTTACTTGGATCTACAATCAACACCCACGGTAGCTTCAGTGAAGAAAGAAAGACGTGTTGCATTGAGAAAATCTGCTTTCAAAACCTCTCCTAAGTGTTAAAGAGCATGGATGTCAGTTTAAAAACTAAGGTATGCAACCCTTTACCACTAAGTCTTAGAATAGCCAAACTGGCACAAATTTAAAGATGATGAGGTAAAGAGATAACTTGAATTGTCTTGTAAACCTTTAAACCAAAATATTGTATCCTGATTACTGACCATGTACTTATAGAGTGAGTAACTATACTTCCTGTGCCTTAGTTTTTATTTACTGTTAAGGAAATCAGCCCATATGAAAAAAGAAGTTTGTTAACAATATATTTATATCATTGTTAGGTTTCTTTTTTTATAAGAGGTTGGCTTTTTAGAATAAAAGAAAAAGCTACATAGTTAAATAAAAAGTTGGACAATTAATGGGGATAATGGAAAATGAATTGATGCCTTTGATTTGTGGTATTGGAGAAGAGTGCTGAATATCCCATGAGCTTCCAAAAGAACAAACAAACCTGTCTTTTTTTTTCTCAATCTTTTTTTTTTTACTAAATTTTATTAGTTTTAATGAACATTTACAGAGATTTTGGGTTTTCATTCATTCATTGTTGCACCGTTTTCTCCACCCTCATTCCCAGTTGGTTCTTCTTTCCCCCCACCCCCAATGTCTGTTTTAATTGTCCAATTGCCACAGTGCTTGTCAAAGCCAGTTCTGATTAATCTCCTTTGTCAGTGTGTCC